TATTTTATTAGGAGTTAGAGATTTGAGAAAATCAAGCTAATTATCATACACGAGTTGACTCATTCAATCAGAGAACTCAAAGGTTCATGTCACGTGGTAAACTATTATAATGAATCAAAATTCAATTGATTTTTCTTTTAGGACTAGTGCTAGGAATCTCAGTTTTTTACTTTAATTTTTTAATACCAATTTACATAGTGGTGAGTTATCTTTTTTTTTCTCATGACAGCTCTCTGGTTTCCGACATAACCCCATGGCTTGTAAAGGTTCTAGACTTTCCTGACTTCTCTTTATGTTTCTTCTTCTAAGGGACCAAGATTCTGTCAATAAATAAATAAATGAAAGAATGTAATATATATATCTTGCTCATTTGTTCACTTACTTTCTCTAGTCTTCATATTCATCTTTTTTTTTTGAAGAAAAAAATTTGGGAGTGGAAGATTTAAATTCTACACCCAAGATAGAATGTGAAGAATTTCCGCTAAGCTACACCTATAATTACACTCTTCAGAGTTTTTGTGTTGTCTTGTTAATTTGCTTTATTAGGGGTTAGAGGTTTGAGAAAATTAAGCTAATTATCATACACGGGTTGACTCATTCAATCAGATAGTTCAAAGGTTCGTGTCACGTGATAAACTACTATAATGAATCACAATTTAATTGATTTTTCTTTTGGGACTAGTGCTAGGAATCCCAGTTTTTTACTTTAATTTTTTAATACCAATTTACACGGTGGTGAGTTATCTTTTTTTTTTCCAATGACAGCTCTCTAGTTTCTTACATAACCCCATGGCTTGCAAAGGTTCTAGACTTTCCTAACTTCTCTTTATGTTTCTTCTTCTAAGGGACCAAGATTCTGTCAATAAATAAATAAATAAATGAATGTAATATATATATATATATAGCTCATTTGTTAACTTACTTTCTCTAATCTTCATATTCATCATTTTTTTTTGAAGAAGAAGAAAATAATTTGGGAGTGAAAGATTTAAATTCTACACCTCAAGATAGAATGTGAAGAATTTCTGCTAAGCTACACCTATAATTACACTCTTCAGAGTTTTTGTGTTGTCTTGTTAATTTGCTTTATTAGGGGTTAGAGGTTTGAGAAAATCAAGCTAATTATCATACACGGGTTGACTCATTCAATCAGATAGTTCAAAGGTTCGTGTCACGTGATAAACTACTATAATGAATCACAATTTAATTGATTTTTCTTTTGGGACTAGTGCTAGGAATCCCAGTTTTTTACTTTAATTTTTTAATACCAATTTACACGGTGGTGAGTTATCTTTTTTTTTTTCTCATGAAAGCTCTCTGGTTTCCCATGGCTTGTAAAGGTTCTAGACTTTCCTGACTTCTCTTTATGTTTCTTCTTCTAAGGGACCGAAATTCTGTCAATAAATAAATAAATGAAAGAATGTAATATATATATATATATATATATATATATTTGTTCACTTACTTTCTCTAATCTTCATATTCATCTTTTTTTTTTTTGAAGAAAAAAATTTGGGAGTGGAAGATTTAAATTCTACACCTCAAGATAGAATGTGAAGAATTTCCGCTAAGCTACACCTATAATTACACTCTTCAGAGTTTTTGTGTTGTCTTGTTAATTTGCTTTATTAGGGGTTAGAAGTTTGAGAAAATCAAGCTAACTATCATACACGGGTAGACTCATTTAATCAGAGAGTTCAATGGTTCGTGTCACATGGTAAACTATTATAGTGAATAACAATTCAATTGATTTTTCTTTTAGGATTAGTGCTAGAAATCCTAGTTTTTTACGTTAATTTTTTAATACCAATTTACATGGTGGTGAGTTATTTTTTTTCATTAGTGGATGTAATATTTTGTATAAATTTACGAGATACGTTAGAAGTTAAGTTCTAAGATTTTTTATTTTTTGAGAGAGAGAGAACTAAAGAATATATTTGTAACATATCATTGTTCAATTATTATTCTAGCCTCTATTTTGATAGTGCTTATAAATTAAGCAAGACAAGTGTATAAATGCGATTATGCGAGTGAAATCATAAACTCGGCCTCCCAAACTAGAATTTCGGATGACAAAAAGCAGTTACATTTCTATACAGTTTTGATGACAGTGATTAGGGGCAAAGTACTTCAATGTCAATAGTGTTGAAAAAAAAGCTACATGAAATATGAAGATGAAAAAAATGACAGTGAAAAATAAAGTAACTACTACATGAAAATTAGGCATCTGGCGTCAACCTTTAAACACATTCGAACACTCTTACGCCTGTTTGGTAAACTAGTTCAAATGGTTTCAACCAAAGAGGTTGTTCAAATCAGTGCTTAACAAATCTTTTTAAGTCTTGATTCAAACCATTTTTTTTTAATGTTTTGAATTAAAAATATATAAATAAAATTTGAGTTTATACCCTCCTTTATTTCCAAGTGACTTTGAACCAAAACTTGAACCACTTTTTTCAAAATTTTCATTTCAAACCACCATATTTTGAAACTGTTTACTAAACGAGAGTGAAACAGAAAAACATAAACATTACTACATTTGTATTAGGAGTTATATGAAAGCTTCAAACCGTTTATATCACAAACCTGAATCTGTTGTGAAGAAGATGAAGAGGATCATAATAACAACCAAGAAACGGACAGATTTGTGGCTCCTAGTCATTCTCACTACTAGTTCACATACAATAATTAGGAACATAAGCGATATTTATAGTATAGACTTCACTCTTTTTTTTTATAAGCTATATCCTATGCCCTAATGTTGTGTATTAAAATAATATGACAACACACGAAAAACATTTCGAAAAATATTGTCGGAGCTTGTTCTTCTCCTTTCTTTCTTTCTCTCTCCCTTATTTTTGTGTTGAAAAAACGCATCTTAGGACCAGCATTTTTCTTTAAACAAGCTTTTTCCACAGAATATAATTATATAAATGGGCAATGAGGAAGATGATGAAAGGCCGTAGACCCTTTTGTTCTTTTGAGTAAATGATAGGGCAATCTTCCTGCATATCATTCATTTTTTTTTCTGCCCCTTGTATGATTTGAAAAAATAAAAGAGAAATACTAAACTTACTTTTAAAAATGTATGAGTCTTGATTTTTACCTTATATTCTTAATTAATATCATTTCGACTAATATAGGCTACGTTTGTTTCATAATTCAAGTTGAGAACTTGAGTAGTGTATGTGAAGGAAAATACTGTAGCAAAAATGTTGAATTTGAATTTTTGTGAGAAAAAACACTATAGTAATAAAATTGAGTTGTAAAAAGAACAAGACCATAATTATTTGACTAAAAAATATTAATCAAGAATAAAGATATAAATCTAGACTCATTCCCCTTTTGAATAATTAGTTGACATTCCTATAAAGTATATTCTTTACGAAATATTTTAGTGGTAATTGCTAGCTTAGCTTCGCAGTAAAAGTATATCTATCCATAAAAATTTCTTCCCCTCAATTTTCTCTTTCCTTTTTTTTTTTTTTAGAAAAAAAGATACATCTTCATTATATAAACATTATAGCAGTTAGTGTTTTCCTTAACTAAATAAATAACTGGTAGCAGTTAGTTTTTTCAAGTATTATTCATAAATATTAGCACATCCTTAGAAAACACATATTGCATGCACGATGCTATCTATATTTAGAGCCTGGCAGGCTAGAATTCAACAGATTCTCCACTTCTCTTAAATAGGACAAGGTTGCAGAAAAAAAAAAAAAAAACAATTGTATTCAATACAATATTTATATGACTAATCAATGACAGTTACACACTAGAGTTGAGTAATTAACAGAAATGACTTTAAGATGACACGAATTTAAATTTGAAAAATAAAGTGAGAGATCTACATGAAAGTGAAATTAAGATTCTGTTTATTTCACTGATTCGAGTTTAGAATTTGAATTTTATTACAGTAAAAAGCTCTAAAAAATAGTCAGATTTAATTTTATAAAAAGCTATCACATAAAATCAGATCTCAACTAAAATTAAAAACTCAAATTAACGAACTAAATGGATACTAAAATAAAATCTGTTAAGCAACTCCTCACACCACAAGGGTCAAAATCATGGATTGCTTGAAACCACCCTCAAAGCGTACGCACTTTGTGCACTTCTAACTCGCTTTCCTTTACCACACGATCCAATATAGATACAAGTACAACTCATGGTATCGCAGAGCCTTGCATTCTGAATCACATGCTAAAGGAAGGAACGTGTATTTGGAGAGCTTCTAGGCCCAACCACAGATGGACCATGGCGGAGCCAATAAGGGAGGAGCCACACCTTCTCACGAGTAGACAGCTGCTCCATTTAAATTTTGTTTTATCTTTCAATTTCGAATGCGCATTTTGTTAAAATTTGTTTATTACCTCCCATAAAAATATGAAATTATATACGTTTATTTTTCTTCAAAAAATATGAAACAAAATCTCAAACTATATAACTACTCTTTATTATCCAATTTTCTAACTCCGTCCCTGAAGCCAATAGTACACAAAACAAATAAATAAAAGTTTTGTTCATTTTATTCGTTCAAGTTGAAATTTTGAGTTAAAAAGTTAATTTATGTTAGTAAAAACGTTGTAATAAAAAAAATTAAATTTGAAATTTTTTAAAAGAAAACATTATAACAAAAACTTAAATTGTGAGTCAAATTAGTAAAAAGAAAGAACGAGTCAAAAAGTGAATCAAGTTAAAATTCTCCATCATTTGTGACCAAGATATTAATGATTATTATTATTATTATTAACAAGACTAGTAGTAAAATCTTTCAACAGTTTATAATAAAATTTCAGTAGAAGTCCGTGCCCCCAAGTGACTTCAATTTGACTTTTGCCACTGCACACATATATTGAAAGCAAATAAAATTTATTTTCCCTTGCTTGAAATTTAATAAAATAATTTCTTAAGTTGTCACATACTAGTCAAATTCCTAGGCAATCTTCAAAGTCTAATGCGTGAAAAATTTGAGACCCATGTAACATATCAGAAGACCAATTATAAACATGAGATTCAAGTGCCTTTCAGTCTCTAGATGCTAATTATGGCCGTAAGCTTACACTTCAATTGCTCATACAAGTCATCTTCCAAGAAAACATACTACACCATCACATATACATTACAGCAAATTCAAATTTTAATCTACTATTTTTCGGAAAAAGAAAAAAGAAAAAAGAAAAGTAAAAGGTCCTGCCTCAAGACAGTTTGCAAATCAGCTTAACATTTTAACCCCACAATCAAGGGTTGAAGAACCAGTGCCTATGTGACACTCAAAACCTTCACCTTTTGCGCAGCTTCTTTGATTTGTTCAATGGAATAGACGCCGAAGAAATCGTCATCGGTTATTGCATTGATCACGGCAAGCGCAACATCATCGACACTGACCGGTGGAGCTAGGAGCAGATCAGAAGCTGGAAGAGAGCTTAACGGTCTTGTGAAGTTTTCGGTAGCTTGCAGTATTCTCTCCAGTGGTTCTCCTATCAAATCCAATGGAATCTCAAAGCCATCTACCCTCCTTTTCCCGTATATGAAGCCGGGTCTCAACACGACACCTGCACAAGTTCAATTAGGAAAAAAGAAAAAGAAAAAAAAGGGCGGGAAATTTGGATAGGAGTTAGAAAGAAGCTAAGTACCTTTTTAGACATAAATAAGATTTTCTTTTTGTCATAGTTAATGAAGATATTTAAAACAAAATAAAATAAGAAGAGGAAAAAGAAATAAGAGAAAAAGTTCATTAAAAACTCCAAAAGAACTCTCCATATTTTTATGGAAGCTCTTCAAAGAGAAGCCCTTTAGGTTTGGCTTTCTTGGAAGAGCTTCACAACAACTAGAACTTATAAACATAGGCATGTTTGGCGGCATTACTTCCTAAAAGCTGCTTTCACTTCTTGGGACCAAAAGCTACTTTTCGGACTGTTTGGATAACTTTTCGCAAGAGCTTGCTTCCAAAAGCTTCCAGTCAAAGTCACAGACTCCATTATAAACTTCGCCATAACATTTTTCTTGTTTATTTGAAACATATATTATGTTTGCTTTATAAAGTTTCACCCCCCACCACCTTTATAAAAGATAGCTCATACACTAACGGAGAAGCCATAGCCGAGCGAGTATATGTTTCCAGCAGTAAGACTATTAAGCAGAGACGCAGATTCCTTGTTTCAGAAAATCAGTTTACTGAGTTGTTTATTATTATTATTATTATTTAAGAAAATAAGAATGTTTTATGTTACTACCAGAATTGGGATATTTGGAGAGGACTTCTGATTCTGCTTTCCTCTTTCCTGTGAAGTATGCAGATGAAAGTAAGAATGATGGCAGATTGTAGTCATGCACTGATATGAAGATGAATTTGGGAATCCCTGCCAGACAGAGAGAAAAAAAAAGGTTATAGAAACGCAAGATGGAAGACAGTTACAAATGAAGAAACATTAAGATCCTAATGTTGTGAATTATACAATTCTACAATATAGTCACTTACCATAATCCTTAGCAGCATCGACAGCAACAAGATTTGCCTCACCATTAATTCTCTGCATCTGTTCCTCATTGCCAAAACCCCCGATTGTCGAAACCACTGCAGTAGCCCCAGGAAGTACTTCATCCCAGTTTAAGTAGAAAACATCCCCTGCATATCAGGTTATTTCAAAATAAGAATTTTATGCATATCCAAGCCAATACTATGCAAATGCAACATGTCCTCACACGTGCAAAAAGCTCAGAAATTGTAAGGAAGTCTTGATGATGACCATGGGGCGCATAATTGAGCTGGCTCCATGATCAATTGGAATAAAGTGCTGGTCGAGCTAAGGCCATATCATGTTAAGGCGCAAATGGATTTTGCAGGTCAGTAAGCTTATGCATCTCAATGAACTGCGAATATATCGTGTTAGGTTTCAAAATCAGAAATCTTATCTTATTTGAATATTAACATGATAATTAAATATTTAAGGGGAAACGCCAAACTTTTTGTAGCTCTACACCCGCCACTCGAAAGAAGAATAGTTTCAATGGAACGCTAACACCAATTTCAGTTAGTAGTAAGCCATATGGTGATCTGTTGCTCTGCTAATCATCTCCTACTGCACAACTTTGGAGCACCTATAACATTGTCTGGCTGGCCAGATTGCTATCATACTGATTCTCACAGTAAGCCATATGATGAAGAACGAGATTAGAATGTTGAATTTAAATTTTTATGGTTATGTTAGGAACCTGATTCTCACAGCTCAATATTCACACAAAATAACAAGAATAGAAGGCAATCAGAGTAGTTTTATTGATCATCACCAACACTAGCTCATAGAATTTTACAACCAAACTAAGAAAAACGTAAAGAAAGCTTAGGATAGACTGGAGTATTCGATGACTCCGGAGAACTCCTAACTTTGATAGTATTCGAGAGACCACCGCTCTCCTTAATCTCAGTCTCCCAAAACTCTCAAAATCACAACATCCCTCTAGTGAGCTACTACGCCCTTTATTTATACTAATTCCTACTAACTATACCAACCCACTAACCAAACAAGTTCCCAAGTCATTAACGGATCCTAACATTACCCCCGCCCCAAAGAAACACCTTGTCCTCAAGGTGTTAAATAATCGCAGCCGTGTGACTCCACTTCCTTCCAATCTTGATGAGCTTGGATCTTAGAACGTCACACTTTTGTTTGGAGCTGAAATTGAGAACCACTTTAAAGGCAGCGAAACCATGAAGCTCAGCCTCAAAATCATCCTTGTAGCAATGGAAGACCTTGTTGGTCAGCTCAAACAATTCATTTATAACAAAAACCTTCCTCGCACAAGCGTTATCTTGTTGCACTGCATGTTCCACCACGCCAGAGGAAGCTGCCTTGTTGTTTGTCAGAACATCAACAATGGGGGGCAGCTACAAGTGTACACTCTCTATTCCTTTGTCAACAGCTCCAGAATTGCTGCAAACAGAATCAAATTCATCTTTTAAAATACAAGAATGGACTCCATTGTTAACTTCTTTCACTGGTGCAGCAAACTCCAACTCTATAGTAACATCCTTGGAAAATTTTGATGTCATTGACATCTTGTTTCCCATATCTTGAAGCCCATCATTACTAGCACCAGATTGAAAATCAACTTCATTTTCAATGCCTTGGTCCACCTTGCCCTCAAAATTCTTCATAGTCAAGTCTCCTTGAATATCTATTTGATCTGAAACATATGTTGTTTGAGCTGGAAGCAACCTGCTTGAACTGCCTACCACTTGCTCTTTATCGACTTCTAATTTTGTAATGACAACTCTCTCTAAAACCGAATTTGAAATCTCTTTCTCAGGTTTGGCAAAGTACCTTGAATTGTCGTCTATAGTCAGCCATAATATCCTCTTGACGTTTCACCAAGAAACTCTCATGTAAGGCCTCATCGGATGACAATCTGAAATGCTTAAGCAGATGAGTCTTCAATTCATTCCAACTGTAGAACGAGCAACGAGCATCCTGCCATCGATACCAAGCCAAAGCATCACCTTTCATAACCATTTCAACAGCTTGGATTTTCTCACTGTTCGTCATTCTATAGAACAAAAAGTATCGTTCAGCTCTAAAAACTGACCCATCAGGGTCTTCTCCGGCGAAAAATGGCATATCCATTTGCTAAAATCGTTGATCTGTTCGGCCCTCCCATAAGGTGTCGTGCCACCTTTCCCTCTCCCTACTCGAAACCCTTGGATTGATTTTGACTCCAAATCGAGAAAACCCAACTCGCTCTCTCAAATCAAACTGTAAAACCCAATCTCCCTCACCCAACTCAGATCGCCCAGACCCAGCCCCATTCATGCCTGAAGATCCAGTCCATATATGGCTGGAAATTGGCTCTAATCTTGTTGTAAGTTCGAGGCCCAACCCAAACATCACCGGAATCAGTCTCAATCACATCAGAATCGCAAATCCCAGACCTAGGGCCACCGGAATTTCGAGACCCAATCCTAATTTTGCCGGAATCCGCCCAAATCAGGCCAACTCGCGTGACCTAGTCCGAATTCAGCCGGAATTAGCCTCAGAAGCACCGGAATCGCGACACCCGGTCCAAATCTGGCCGGAATCACCTTCGAACGCACCGGGATCGCAAAACCCAACCCCATCTACGCTCGATCCCGTCGCAAATCTACTGTCGTTCACTTCATATCTAGTTGATCTAGCTCCGGGTCGCGAAAAATCGCTCCAAACAGTTCGCATCTCCACCTTTGTCCCACGCCAACGTGAATCGCCCATCTCAGGTCGCATCTCTGGCGTCGTTTGCCGGCGTTGGATTTGCAGACCAGTTCGCATCAGCCAAGGGCCGTCGTTCTTCTCATATATGAACGTCTCAACACGAGATCGCAACAAACGGCTCCAATCTTCATCAATCTCGTGTGATTTCGGATCTGGCCGTCTTCCCTCCATCGTCGCTCGCCAGCACAGTTCGTACAGTCAGCGGCTCTGGTTCTCGAAACCCCACGATTCCAGACTCTTCTCACCTTTTTTTTTGCAATTTTTTTTTCCACAGTTTTTTTTTTCCTGAGAATCGATTGCTCTAATACCAAATTGTTATGAACCTGATTCTCACAGCTCAATATTCACACAAAAGAACAAGAATAGAAGGCAATCAGAGTAGTTTTATTGATCATCACCAACACTAGCTCATAGCATTTAACAACCAAACTAAGAAAAACGTAAAGAAAGCTTAGGATAGACTGGAGTATTCGAGGACTCCGGAGAACTCCTAACTTTGATGGTATTCGAGATACCACTAGCTCTCCCTAATCTCAGTCTCCGAAAACTCTCAAAATCACAACCTCCCTCTAGTGAGCTACTACGTCCTTTATTTATACTAATTCCTACTAACTATACCAGCCCACTAACCAAACAAGTTCCCAAGTCATTAACGGATCCTAACAGGTTATCTATTAGGATTCATTTTATATTTAGTATTTAAGATTCGAATCTAAGATTATGTTTATCTCTTAGGATTATTTAGAATTTAGTAAAATTCATTCCTTTATTACTTCTATTTCTATAGATACTGTCCTGGTTGAAATTTCAATAGAAGGATGATGATTCATGATTTCATGTATGCATATTGAGATTTCGAGTTTCCTTCCTCTTGTCTTCAGTTCTTATTCTTCTCTTGAATCTTCTGTTTTCTCTCCTTTTGGTTCTATTTCTCTCTCCCTAGTGGTTCCATGTCTCTCCTTGGTTCTATCTCTCCCGCCGTTACATCACTTATCTTCATATCCTTAGAAAGACTCTAATACATAAAAGGTTTCTAAGGTAACCTTGTCAGACCTAATTTAGTTTGCAACCTTGTCAGACCTAATTTAGTTTGCAACCTTGTCAGTACTCAGTTGTCACCATCACCATCAACAATACGAAGCTCCTACAGCTATGGATTGGAAACTAAAAGAATTGTATATTATGAGGAATCCAGGTCAATGGAGATATAGCTAAGCAGTTTATTCGTAGAAGCAGAAATTTCTACAGAACCACCCTCAAAAGTGTTGTTTTAACGTTACTATGGTGAATTTTATTTCCATTGAGAAAAATACCATGTTAGTTTCCGAAAATTAGCATCCAAAATCTTATCTTCTTGGAATAGAGTTCCTGAATGAACAACTAAATGAATCCACAATATAAATTCTAAGAACCTATTTATAGGAGAATGAAGAATAAAACATGCCTGGTATCCAAGTAACCTGATCTACCCATGAACCAGGATACGTTGGACGGCCTGACCTGTGAATTGAACAAAGTTTCAGATTTCAGACATATAAAATGGCATTCAAATGATGTAATAATGTCAAATTTCAATACATGTCTTGCCCAGCTTCTTAGAGTACTTCTACAAGGATCCACACATATAGAAACGGTCATATTAAATCATCAAGAACTCAAAACACATGCAATTGTGTTGAAACCAAAACTGGAATTTGTATATCACCTGCTTACACTAACAACCTCTATGCCCTTGGATACGGCAGCCTTGCAAATAGCCGAACCAACAAAGCCACTGCCTCCTAAGACCACAATCTACTAAGAAGAGCATCTTGGTGAGAAACATATTTTACTACAAAATGTCACAAAATGCATTCATAAGCTATGATTTTCAACAAGTGGTTACGTGCGTGAGTATGTGAGTATGTGCACGTGATGACAGATACAAATCCTGGTGGTTTTATTTCTTGGTAGTAAAGTGAAAGCAATAGACCCCAACATCATATCAATATTATATATATGTGTGTGTGTGTGTGTATCATTTCCAACAAAAGAAAATATTGAAAGAAATTGTGCATACCCTTTCAGTCCTAACATTAGCCACAACATCTATTGGAGCAGAATAGGAGTCCTCTTTTGTGCTTGCCTCTGCATAACTGCATCTCACACCCAACCTGCTTAAGCTAGCCGACAAAAAAAAATGGTGAAAATAACTTCACTTTTAATTCATACTACAAGAACTTGAGACAACTGTTCAATTCACAAAAAGAATGGTCTAATAGCATAATAAACATAGCAGAACTAGAAGATGCTGCTTTATATATATATATATATATATAGTCTAAAATTGTAGCATATTCCCCGATGAAAAAAAGAAGAAAAATATAGAAAGCATATACCAATATTGTTCAAAATTTTCTCCATATCTAAGTTAAGCACGAGTAAATAGAATTGCCCAGAAAAACCCCAAGAGAAAAAAAGGTAACTTGGTGAAGTCCGAAGACCCACATGAAGAGCCAAAACAAAAAGGGGGGGAAATTACAAACCCCATAAACAAATAAAGAAACCCCTTTTTTTGTGCAAAAATCTTATGTTTTACAATAAAGTTTCGACATTTAAAAGAAGTAAATGGAAATGGATATGCGCAAAAAGTGCCCAAAAAGTGTGTGTTTGCACCTGTATTGTGTGTGGGAGAGAGAAAGAGGTGAGCGGTTATGGAGGAGAGAAGTGAGGCGAGTGGGAAAGGAAGAAGCTCTGGGAAGGAGAGAGGAAGGAGGCGTTTGGGTGGCCAGAAACGACGCCATTTTTTTGGAATCAAGAATTACAGGAAATGGGAATTGGAATGGGAGGTGCTGAGAAGTTTTACCGGTGTTCGTTCGGTGGCACAAACCTAAACGTGATTCCTTCTAGAATAGTACTTGCTTGGTGTGGAAATGATATGATTTCCTATGATGTGGCTGATAATAATGACAAGTAGAGACGAGTTTGAGTGGCGTTTTTAGAACTTTTAACAATCGTTTATTTCATAAATTTAAATTTAAATTTTAAATTTTTTTATAGTAAAAAATTTTAAAAAATATTTATATTTAATTTTTTTATTATAGTAAGGTATTCTCACATAAATTATATATCAACTCAAATCATAAATCATATATCAATTTAAATTAAAAATTTAAATTTATGAACTAAACAGACCATAAATCACTGTTTAACTACAGTAATGTAAACTCATAGCATTCACATTCGTGTTAAGAGGGTCATGCTGGCCTTTACCAAGAAAAAAATTTGTGCCTAGAAATGTTGAACATGAAAAAATAATACTCATCTTCAAATTTAGATAAGCGATGATAAATATTAGTATCACTTTTTTTATTACTTTATTTATTCACTGTTTGACCCATTAACTGATCCGACTCCAATACCATTATCTTATTTTCTATTTAAATAATAATATATCATGTTAGTTGAGTTCATGTGTCAAACAGTGAATCGAGATAGTGATAAAAAGAGTAACAGAATAAGTGATATTAGCATTTCTCCGTAACCGATACTAGAGGTTCTTTTCTTTGTTATTTTTCTAAAAGGCATATTTCATTAAAGAAAACACAGATTAGAATGTGAATGAACTCATGCAGTGCAAGGTAAAACTCTCAATTAAGATCGATTTCATCAATAATCTAACAATTGGTAGAATGTATACCAGAAGTACGAGAACAGGAAGTACCTCAACACATCAAGAACAAGCTCACAAAAAGTTCTTTTTACCAAAACTCTAAATCAATATAAATGTTCGATTGATTGAGAGTCACAACGATATAGCACAAAGGTCACTGCATAGATACGATGCTAAAGACAAAATAAAGACCCGAAAGATGGGGAGACCACCTATGTTGTTTCAATAAAAAGTCAAAAAATAAATAAAACAACGCTAGAACCTAAACAACGAAAAGAGCACCATAGTTATTAACAAGCACAAAACTAACAAAAATAGGTAAATCCCAAAAGATTACAGTGAAATCTCTGATGATGAGCTGACCACTACTGAGAATGGCACAAGAAAGCCACGATACAATCAGTGAGCCAAAGAAGACTGGGAAGAATGTTGGTCTCCAACACGAGATAACCATCAATAATTACCCACCACTGCCAACCAAAAAGAGCGTCATCAGCTCAAATCCGCCACCCCACAAAAACCAATATCCCCAAGAAGAAAACGACACCAAGCACCAAGAAACGCCATCAGCCCTCAGAAAGAAAAGGTTGTCTTTCAACCTACTTCGCCTGATGAACAACCAAACTGTTTGGACCTTAAAGACGCCACCGCTCGAGTATGGCCAGAAAAAGGCCCGCATCAGACCAAACCACCCCCAAACACTCGCATCGAGCAATCCTAAAAACTTATATCACATCATTTAAGTACACTCCGATAGAGTTAGGAGTCCGGAGATTATAATCGTATTAGAGTTTTGAATTTGCGTCATATATTTGAAATTTTTTATTCAAAAGAAGCGAAACTAAGTTACAAAAAACTAAAAGTATAACTTTAAAGCAAAAAGAAAAAAAAAATTATGGTATAAGTTCAAAAATATTTACAAAAAAATGGTATGTTACCTAAATTTTTTTATTTGTGCTTGAGTTTTTCAGTAGAAATGTCGTTTTATGAAATTAGTAAGTTAATACATCCACATTCGATAATATCAAATAACTATCTCATCCTATTCTTTTAAAAAATCATACATATTATATTTTTGACCTCTCTAATATAAAATTTCCTTTAACTGAAGAAGTTATTCTCACTCGTGTCTTTTATTTTAGAGTCATTTTCATTTTATATAATTCAAAAGTTATTTTTCAATTTTAATATGAGAGATCAAAACTGTAATATACATATATATATATATATATATTCAGCAATTAATTGGCCAAAATAAAAAAAAAATTCAGGATTAATATTGTTAACAACCCCGAATATATATATATATATATTCAGCAATTAATTGGCCAAAATAAAAAAAAAAATTCAGGATTAATATTGTTAACAACCCCGAAAAAAAAAAGAAAAAGAAAAAGAAAAGAAAAGCGAGCTTGAAATGACGATATTGGACAAGGGATTGGAAAGAGGGGTTTAATATGGAGCCTGAAGTAACCGGATATCCGCCGAGGCAGAAAAACAAAACAGTGTTGATTGTAGAAGCAGACGACGACCAAACCGAAAGTCCGCCATGGCCAGATCGACAAGCAAGGACGCTCAAGCTCTCTTCCATTCCCTCCGTTCCGCTTATTCCGCCACACCCACTAACCTCAAGGTCTCTCTCTCTCTCTCTCTCTCTCTCTCACCTCCAAAGTCGTGGTTTTTACGCACTTTTCCTCCTCCTGCAGATCATCGATCTATACGTCGTTTTCGCTGTCCTCACAGCTTGTATTCAGGTACTTTTCGAATTATAAATATATTTTGCATTTTTGTGTTCTGGGAATATAAATTATTTGAAAAAGAAAAAAAGAAAGATCTTTACTTGATGCGAATTGATTAGTTGTGGAAATTGATGCCTGACCAATATAAAGAATTTGAAATTGGATGTGAATGTGTCTGAATTGTTTCTCACTAAATGGTTTTGTTGGCCTTTCAGTTTTAGATCATGATTTTGACTTATGTGTCTCTGTGATTATTGTTGGATGCTTATAAATTTGTGGGCAAAAGGTTAATTGAAGAATTAAGTATAGCATTGTGAGATGTTGAAAAGACTCAATTTAGAGCTTTCAGATCTTGTTTTGTTTTGATTTTTTTCTTGATTTGCACCCAAAAAATTTGGCTAGAATGTCCAATTCCCCATTTGCAAAAGTCTTTGAATTGCTTGGTTAGCTTGCTACTTGCTTCTATTCTTTTTCTAAGTTAAGGTAAATTAACTGTTTTTTGGTGCTTTCTTTTTTTATCATAATTTTTGAACAATTGAATACTTGTTTGCGTTGAACTTTTATTCTGGTAATAGGTTTGTCGATTGCTCTATCAGTCATGTAGTTAAGAAATATTCTTTCAATGGTGACAAAAATCCACTTACAAATGAAAAAAGAACAAGATGTCCTCAAGCAAAAAAAACCGATGATAAGACCCGTATAATAAGGAAAGGGTTTAAAGAATGAAACAGAATCTGGAAGAATATGGAATTCTCATTACTGAAAACTACTTGCAGTTCACTACTATAAATAGTAGTTGTTATAACAACTAATTCACTCAATAGCCAATTAAGGCTGTACACGTGTATAACAAACTTAATAACCATCTTAGCTAAACGTTTTGCCTCAACACTGTATAATTAGGCCCCCGTCACATCTTTCCAATTAAGAACAATTAAGGAAAATGGAAAGCCTTTGAAGGCTTTTATCAATTGACAACACACACAATGAAGCTAAAACCTTCAACAAAAGTTCTTCTTAGAAATTGACTGTTAC